AGAAATAGAGAAAGAAAGAAAGAAAGAAAGAAAGAAAGAAAGAAAGAAAGAAAGAAAGAAAGAAAGAAAGAAAGAAAGAAAGAAAGAAAGAAAGAAAGAAAGAAAGAAAGTCGATTCAAATTGTCTTACTCTAAGTCACAAGCCCATGTGAATCAACAGAGGAGCTGACTCACCAAATTCAACAGGCCTACACTAATGCAACTTACTATGCTAAGCAACAGGATTTCAGCCAATAAATGCAAACCTCTGCAGCTGATGAATCTAGATTTTCAAGATGCAAGTCAGAGGTCTCCTTCTTTGGCTTGCCTCATCTGAAAATGAAATTTGCTCCTAAAGCAAGACAGGCGGAATGCTCCTCTAGCCGACTGCAGTCAGCTCCCTCGCCTGCTGAGACAGAAAAATTGGCTGGCAATGTGAGAAGCGCTATGCAGTTTCTCTAGCACTGCAGCACCAGACGACACAAGGGAAATAGTAGCAAGCAAAGAGGGTTGAGCCCTTTGCATTTCGAATCCTTGGGAAGAAGTCTGTTACCATCAGTTATGGGGTAATTTGTCTTATGAGTGTGGCTTTGCATCAGTTTTATAAATTGGCCAAGGGATCAAGCCAGCTCCTTGCTAACACACTGCAGAGCCAGATTTTACAAGGCTGTAAAACTCAGCCATGCGGTGTCTTCCATGGCTCAGGTTTGAGACCCCAGCGCCTGGCAGCTTTTTGTTGAAAACGCAAGGATGTGTTCTGCTCAAAAGAGTAATGGCCAAGGCTAATACAGGGCCCCCCATTCAGACATGACAGCCGGTCCCTTGGTCCACCTCCAGGAGCATCTTAACATCAGTGGAGTTTAGAAGTCACGGGCAAAGCAGAAGGAAAGAAGCGGTGGGATTTCTGTGCAGCGGCAGCAACAACAGCTGGGCGAGGGAATCTCTTTACTGGATCCCTCAAAATTGGCAAGCCTTTGAACTGTCCACACCTCTTTCTCTACTGGCGTGGGAAATATTGGGAGCCCAAGGGAAAAAAACAACAACAACCAAGTCTCAAAAACCCGGCTAGAGTTAGAAGAAGCCATTCTTGCTGAACGTTCTGGCCAAGCTGGGTCTCCCCAGGGCAACAGAGATCCATGGGGCAGGTTGGGGTCTTGCTTAGACCAATTTTTGGTCCACTGTAGGAGTTCCCAGCCTTTTTTCATTCGGCTACTTCTTGGCACCTCATTTCCATGAACTGTACTGAAATATAGGGAAGACTTCGAAGAAATCACTTGTTGCTCACAGGATTGACTGAGGGGGCTGCTTAGATGTCCCCCCCCCGTACTGGTGCAACAACACTGTTCGTGAAGCCGAGGAGGGTTGAGATCTGAGCCTGTGAGGGGCACCCTTCTGAGCATGCATGCTGTCATGGCATGTTCAAAACACATTCTTTAAGGAGGGACTCCCAGCTGTTTGCCAAAACAAGAAAGCAAGGGAACGGGGCTTTTCTCAATGTAAAATACGTACTGTAACAAAGAAAAGCCACTTTGCTCCTCATCAGAATGTTCAATTAATTTCACAACGTTCGACTTGTATTTTGTCTTACACGGTTGACATTATGTGCCTTTTCCTGCCATTATTCAATTGTTTGTGTGCCCCTAAATGTCCTGGTTTGCATTCCAGGGGTTACGCATACCCCAGGGTGGGACTCACTTGTCTAGATGATGAGGTGGTGCCTTAAAACCGGGTTTGATTGGGTCTCTGGCAGCAGTTCCACCTGCCCACGTCAAGTGCAATGGCTTTGACATCAAGTCATATTTTGGGGACTTTT